AAACATCTCCCACAGATATCTCGTTTCACCCTACAATAAAAATAAATGCTGCTGTGAATAATTGGTTAAACCGAGGTTTCCTCTTTTATAAATTGATAAGGAAAGTCAGTCTCTTTACCAACTATCCATTTCAAACAACTATTTCACCAATAAATCCGTTAAATAAGCTGAACAAATAAAAATTGTACAAGTTTGTGTTTTACTAATAAGAGGAAATTAAAATTATTTAACTTGTATAGTACATATGTACGAGTACAATTATGGCGGCGCACTTGCGCTGTTGTATGTATTGTATATATTGTTATTGTATGCCACCAATATGAGCTATCGGAAGAGATGTAAATCAAAGTAGTACAAAAAAGTAAAAAGGGTAGTTATTTATATGCATTACAGATTCATATTTTAATAAATTTTTTATTTTAAACATAAAATTATCATATATAAAAATTGTTATTCAAATTGATGTAGTACATCATCATTATTCACGATGTTTCAATCAAGAAATTAAACGAAGTTGTATGCCGGCATCAAGCCTCTCTGTTGTCAGTAAGATGAGGTTTGCGGTTTCCATTGCGTCAACATTGTTAGCAACTTTACGTCATAATCTATATTGGGCTCCTTACATTTTTTTAGTACTGCGTCTATTAAGTGGGGATAGTCATATAAAAGTCGGATGCGGTGCGTGTCGTCCACCCGCTTTCTGTCGTACATATGAGATCTGAATTTGCGAATATGTCGGTTGTTCGCTGCATTTCGATCACAGATGACAGCCCTCACGTCCCCATGTCTAGTTTATTCGATATGCAGGGGTAGCTAATGAACACTACATTGAAGCCGCCACTCACTGCGCATTTTTTGATCTGGAAGAGAAATAAAATTCTGCGCTGAAATTGTCCACTATTGGTAGGAATACTGGAGCAAAGGAGCAAAGCAGCACACAATTAGGTTCAATTTATTTCAGTGTTTTTAACGTTTTTGGGATGTGTGGTTAAGTCTTATCGCACAGAAGAAGCAATCTGTCTTATGTTATCTATTGACATGTTGTAGCGCATTCCTCTTCAATGTCAACGCGAGTGTGCCAATTACTCTCTGGAGGTGTTTTTATACCCTACACCACTTGCGATTGAAAGGGGTCAGCAGACTTCGTGCTGCGAAGAGGCTCGCCGTTAGATATGTCGATGAAATTGCAGGTATGGTCGAAATTGATTGTTGACATGTTAGTCGTAGTATCGCCCAGCAGCTAACGAGCGACCACAGAATAGTTTTAAACACGTAAACAAATCATCCGTTGCTCACCTTGTCCCCACATTTTTAGTGAAAGGTCAGAAAATTTGCAAAAAAGCAGAATTGATATATATTTTTAACTTTCGTTTAGCCTGAACGGAACGGTGCTGTTGTGGGCATATTTAGAAAATAAATATGAATAAAGAAAATTCAGACTTCTAATGGAATACAATTGCTATTGTTTGTTAAGCTTTCAGATGTTTGTGTGGGATGTGCGTTGGCATTCTGTATATTTTATTATTATTATTATTATTAATTTCGCCAGAGAAATTTATTCTAAGACTAAACTCTTAAAGCACTAGCATCTAAGTCTTTCAGTAAAAACTCTACCGCACTTGATATTCGAACCCACGACCATTGAGTTGCTATTTAAAGTATTAAAGTATTAAAGTAGACTCAAAAGTCCATATATATGCAAACCAAAGCAAAATCGAGAGTTTGCATAAGAAATAAGGTTATTTTGTACTAAGAATTACTTCTTTAGTAATTTGTTATAGAAAAGAATATATGAATATAAAATAGGAGATTGAAAAATTAAATTATTTCTTGTAATCGTATTTTTAATAATATATGACATTATTATTATGGTCAGATGAACCAGCTTATGCCGTTTGGTTAGATTTTTTTTCTTTAAATTATTGAAGACATAAGAAATGAAGAATAATATTAAAAGTGTTAAAACAAATAGTAGTCATTATTTATAAGAGTTGTAAGAGTTTTAGGGAAGAAAGTTAATTAGTTAATTAATAACTTTTCCAGACCTGTGATGGTATTCTTATAACTTAAAATTATTAACTTGTATTTATTTTTACAGTTTAACTTACACAAAAAGTTTATTATACGACCAAAAAAATTTATTATACGACCAGAAAAATTTATTATACGACCAAAAAATTTATTATACGACCAGAAAAGTTTATTATACGACCAAAAAAATTTATTATACGACCAGAAAAATTTATTATACGACCAAAAAATTTATTATACGACCAAAAAATTTATTATACGACCAGAAAAATTTATTATACGACCAAAAAATTTTTTATACGACCAAAAAAGTTTATTATACGACCAAAAAAATTTAATATACGACCAGGAAAATTTATTATACGACCAAATAAATTTATTATACGACCAAAAAATTTATTGTACGACCAAAAAAGTTTATTATACGACCAAAAAATTTATTATGCGACCAAAAAAGTTTATTATACGACCAAAAAATTTATTGTACGACCAAAAAATTTATTATACGACCAAAAAAGTTTATTATACGACCAAAAAATTTATTGTACGACCAAAAAAGTTTATTATACGATCAAAAAATTTATTGTACGACCAAAAAATTTATTGTACGACCAAAAAAGTTTATTATACGACCAAAAAATTTATTGTACGACCAAAAAATGTATTGTACGACCAAAAAAGTTTATTATACGACCAAAAAATTTATTGTACGACCAAAAAATGTATTGTACGACCAAAAAAGTTTATTATACGACCAAAAAATTTATTATACGACCAGAAAAATTTATTATACGACCAAAAAAGTTTATTATACGACCAAAAAAATTTATTATATGACCAAAAAAGTTTATTATACGACCACAAAATTTATTATACGACCAAAAAAGTTTATTATACGACCAAAAAATTTATTGTACGACCAAAAAAGTTTATT